TTATATAAGTTGATATGATTAATACGATTAAATTTTTAATTAATATGATATATAATTTAAAAGTTTAAAATATAAATTATACATTTTCTTTTTTAAATACCAATTTTTATATTTTCTTAAATATCAAATACTAAAATTGTAATTAAGAAAAAAAATTAAGAGAATTAAGATAGCTGCTGCCGCATGACTTGGCTCTCTCTATTAGTTTTAATATATTTATCATTATTATTTATATACACATAAGAGTTAAGAATCACTCATAAATTATAAAATCATATTAATAAATAATAATTAAAGTTGTATTGAAAAATATTCGACGCAAAATTAACGAAAGATGGCCGAAACCTACGTGCAAACTAACATAGCTAATCGCGCCGGTTTGGCTTATTACTTTATATTGGGACGGCCAGTCGTCGGTATAATTTTTCGTCGTTTTTATCATTTAATTATAGCCGACAAATTGCCGTTCGCCAATCGCTTTTGTTTTCCCATGCCCATCGGCCAAATGTTGGCTTTTTATTATAGTAATTTAATATATTTGACCATTGAGTTTTGGACTCAAGGAAAGGCCAATCATTAACGTTTGTCTTCCACTAGGCACTCGTTGTTTTTAGTTGCAATGGTCTACTTTGTTCTATTTCTAATCCATCATAATCGATTAGTTTTATTATAGTTTTATAAGATATCGTTTACTTCTTACTTCATTTTTCTTCATGTTGAACTCATTGATATAGAGTAATTGAAGCAAGTTGAATACTGTAAGTTATTAATCTCAGTATAAATTCAATTAGAAACCGATTCAAGGATTTTTTTTTTTCCAAAATATCATTAATAAAATTTGAGTTATTTATATAAAATAAAATTATGCTCTACAATAAATCGAAATTAATAATATCTTATAAATTAATATAAATCGTGATGTTTTTATATGATGTGTAATTCATTACGTGTGAATTACAATCTTAAAAAAATTTAAGATTCCACTTACTAATTAAGGTGGAATTTGATTGCGTGTATCACGAAAGCAGGTGCGCCAAGAATAATTTTCATGGTGCATAAAAGACTAATGCTATCAATTTGGCCAATATTGAAAGAAAGACTTTATTAGTCATTAAGTCATTTTGGCAAAATGATGACTATGGAAACTTGGTCAGCTGAAATGAGATATTAAAAACAAACAATCTTTCCTCTTGCATTGTTAATGAGGTTGTGGCAGACAGTGGAAGAAGACCAAGACTAACACAGTTGGATGCAATTTCTCTTGTAGTTTAGTTGGATTTAGAATAAAAAAAAATTCGAAGTTGACCCACGTCTTGACTTAGCTCTATGTCGGCATGTAATCCAACTGTTGGCCAAATCTTATCCAATGGACGTGTCGGGCTCAAAACAGTTTGGATTTTATTCAAAAGTAAAGCCCCTAATTTATAATGAGATATATATATATATAATTATTTTTTTTGAATAATGATTCTTTAATAATTATTATATCTGATAATTTAAAATATGATAAAATTATATGATACAAGTACAATATAAAAAATATAAAAATGATATAATTTAAAATTTTAATAATTATTATATATAAATTTTATAAAATTTTAAAAATATATTTTATATTTTTACATCGATATAAATTATGACATATAATTATCATACAAAATATTATACCAATATATAAATTTAAATATTACACGATACGAATACATGAATTAATAAATTTAATAATTAATAATTGATTAATTTATCAAATAAAGATAAAATTAATTATAATTCATGCGTAATTAAGTCTCATGATTTAGAATATATATTTATATATATATATTCATATTTTTTATATGACAAATAAAAGTTTTTCAAGTAATTTATTCAAGTAATTTATATAACACAAGGTGATAAAATTTTCAAAAATGTTTTATTTTTCATTTATTTCAATGAATATTACATATGCATATTTTTATCTTTATTTTTTATAGTAATGATTTATTGGTTTCGAAATTAAAAGCCTAATTTGATTTAGCTAAATTAATCTCTCTAATTAGTTTGTAATTCTATATATCCTTCAATTAACAAAATGTCTTTGTACCGATATATATTATAGATTATTTATAATATTTTTCATATCTTAATTTATTTTCATAAAAATTTTGATTTTATAATTAAAATTTCTTTTAATATGAGAATTTTCAATTCTACCTACTCTAATTGAACTTTTATAATATTAAAAATATAAAAATCAATTAATACATCATTTATTAATTAAACACTTACTTATTTATTTATAATTATAATTTAAAATTATATTAATAATGCACATTTAAAAATACATATTCACATATGTGAAATGTGCTAGTTTAGATAAATTGTTCACATAAAACTCATGAAAAGATTGGCTTATATTGGCCCAATGGACTAGTGGGTCAGGAATTAAACTTACTTATTGCACTTCAACACATGCAAGTGAACTCATTTTTGGCCCAATCATTTTAGGCCAGCCCAATCATATCTTGGATCAGTCAAAACCGAAGAATCAAGCACATTACTTACATTTTTACAAATTCATTGTATCAAAATAATTTATTTCTTTATTAGTAAAGAAAAAAATTTTTTATTTGAAATTATCAGGAATTTGAGTCTTAATCATTAAAATTAAAAATTAACTCTCTATCAATAGATTATATGTTTTTAAGTAAATATTTTCAAATAATTTTCTTTCCTTTCACTTTTTTCATGTGAATTGTGAAACTAATCTCATTTTATTTTATACATTTTAAAACAAATATTTTATTTTTTTCTTTTATGCATTATGTTGAATTATATATGCTTAATAATATTTAATTATATGGGTTTTTTTTTTAATTTAGTAATCTCAAAACGATATGATAATACAATACAAAAACGATATGAATAAAAAAATATGAAAATAATACGATTTAAAATTTTAAAAAATCATAAATAAATTTAATAAAATAAAAAAAAATATATTTTTTGTCGACATAAATTATGATACATCATTTTTTTATAATATTCAATACGAATACACAAATTATAAGTATTTTATATGATATAAATATACGAATTGACAGGTCTAATTTTTTTTTAAGTATTTTTTTTCTTTTCTTTTAGTTGACATGGAAAAACTTGCTACTAATTCCTGAAGCTGTTTAGAAAACTTGACTGGGTCATTGTTGCCCGACTGCAGGAGACATGGTTTTTTTTTCTCCATTTTAAATAAACAACAATTAAATGCATTGATTTGACCGACTTAGTCATATTTACTGTTATAAGTGTATTTATGCTTTACATAAGCTAAAAAAGCCAGTAATTATAAGGGTTTGAAGTTTGAACACCCAGTTAACTGCTTTGAACAAGGTCTTGTGGCGTCATTATTGATGCATTATTGTTTATTCATTCCCTTAATTAAGAATTGAACATTTTTCAAGACTGCCTCCCATATATATAGAAAAAAAAAAAAAAAACTATACTTTTTAACTCAGTCTTTCTTTTATATTTTCAGTTTTTTTTTTTTTAAATAATCATTTTTTCTTTGATTTTGTTAGGCTTTTTCTATCTGATATCTGTTCAATGAAAGCAAAGCAGGTTTACTTCTGTGAGTCTTGAGCCATTGTCTCTTGATTTTATGTTAAATTAAAGGCTAGCAATCTATGCTGAAATAAAATTGGGTCTTAATGAACAATTATTTTTTTTTATTACATCAAGAAAACAAAGCTCTAATATAAATAAATAAAAAAAAAAGATCTGACTCGAAACCAAACTTTTAATATCCTCCTAAACGCATTCAACTACTAAGCCAAAGGCTTAAAAACCATGATGGACAACTACTTACACATATAAAATTGATGCCAACTGTCAAGTGATTAATTTAATAAAATATTATTTTATTTAATTTACTAGTTAGTTATTCAAATTCAATAGTATAAGTTAATTAGCACATTAAATATAGGAATTTGCTATAAATAATAATCCCAACAACTCTTATCTCATATTAAATATTTACTCATTTTAAGATTTTTTTATTTTTAAAATGATTAAATATTAAATATTTAAATTAAGAGTTTAATATTTTATCGATAACTCACATATATATGTAATTAGATTTTGTCATGTTGCATGTGATTTGATACGTTAATTATATTAAATGATTAATTTTTGAGATATATATAATTTGTAAATCGTTATAAATTTTATAAAGTTAATATTCAAATCTTTTAAATTTTTATTTTATGTATAAATTTATAGTTACAAAATCATTAAAAAGTGTCACGTTAAAAAATATTATGAATTTGTGAATGAAAATTAATTTTTAAAATTACATGTTATGAATATAATTTTAAATTATACGATTAATTATCAATTGCTTTTAATAATTAATGAGAGTGTTTGACTTCTTCCCAAGTTGTAACAGGGCAAACCGAACGGGGTTTTGGTTTCGCCGTGTAAATTGCAACTTCAGAAGAAAAAGCTAGGAAGAAAAAAGAAGGAAAACCATAGCTGCATATAAACGGAGGACCGTGATCAAGACTTTGAGTCCCGCGTGAAGCACAGTTAGTCACACAATCACAAACACACAGTCTAACCTCTAAAGTCTTTGAAAAAGGAAACCAAAGAATCCCCTATTGACGTTTGCATGGATAGGGATTGATTATTGAATTTTACTAAGAATCAAAGTAAACCCCTACGGTATTACTTGTCTTTCAAGTTTCGAACCATTTTTCATATTCAGCTAACGCGTCGTCCCATATTTTTTAAGCCTTCCATTTTCATAGGTCCCAATAACTCTTTTCTTTGGTTTCTTTTTCCTCAGTTTTCTGGTAATAAGCTAGGCTAAGCCTTGTAGTTTATCTATTATTCTTTGTGGGTTTTCTATGAAATGTGCATGCATTTGCATGGTAATGGTGTTTATTATATATAATTTGTTTCAATATATGTATTTTTTGACCCATTGCATCAAAGAAAATCATATCAGATAGGATTTTGAAAGTTGTTTGGAAATATTGGAAGTCAAATCCTATTTTTCGTAGTCCCTTCCATAAGTTCTTACTTCTTTAATGGCTAAAGAAGGATTAATGCAAAGACTCCAATCGCGTTTCTCGCGATTTCCTTATTAAATTCCATACTTTTTCCTTCTTCTTTACTAACCGAATATGCTCTCAGTATTCTGTCATGATTATAAATTATACGATAGGAGTCACGTACGTTGAGATGTGAACCAACCTAGAAAATACTGATCAGAAAGTCTGCTTGTTTCTTTGATCTATAAATAAGTATGTAGTCTGCAGCGTTTTACATTCAATTCAATTCCATTACATTTTCTCATTTCTAGCAAGCCATTTCTGTCACCCATTCTCATTTCTATTACTTAAATTTAATTTCCATTTGCAGAAAATGAATACCACAGCAGCTCAATTTCCATATCCATGGCAGCGTTGCAAAATTATTCACTTGGTATTCATATAAATACCAATACCTTTTCTTTTAGTAATATTAAATTCAAATATATGAATTAAAAGGCCTTTATTGAGCCATAGACTTTACTATTTTCAGGTGAGGCATGGACAAGCTATGCATAACGTAGAAGGAGATAAGAATCGTGAAGCACTGTTGTCTCCTCACCTATTTGATGCAGAACTCTCCCCACTGGGCTTGCAGCAGGTAATAATCTTATAATCAATGGTTTGTATCGTTAAACCTGAATGAATTCAGGTCCGCAAATATTTGATATAATTAAATTAATCATGTCTAATCCGTCGGCCTTTTACAGGTTGGTAAACTGCGCAAGGATGTTCATGCTAGTGGGTTACTTGATAAGATTGAGTTAGTCGTCACGTCCCCTTTGTACAGGTAGAAAACTAAAATTTTACCTGAATTTCAATTTTCAGATTCCTTCTGATGGGATTATTTTGTGAGAGCTGTTTCAAATATATTTTAACGTCTGTTTAACGATTGTTGATGGTGTAATGATCACTGCAGGACCATGCAAACAGCTATTGGAGTTTTTGGTAGTGAAAGCCACGCAGATGGAGGGAATGAAGATTTTTCTGCAATATCAGCTACCAATTACCCCCAAATTATGGCAGTTGAGCTTTGTCGAGACCGCCTGGTATGGCTTAAACAACCTATCATGTTTGACTTTCTTACACATTTGATTACCTGAACCCTGCAAACCAAGTTTGGACTTTCATATTGAAAATGCATTCGCTTGAGTGCAGGGGGTTCGTCCTTGTGATATGAGGAGAAGGGTCAGCGAGTGTCAGGCTCTTTTCCCTTCAATTGATTTTTCAATGGCAAGTTTCTTTAGCCCCATTCTATCTCTAAACAGGATCTAAGTATTATGGTTGCAAGATTTTTAATTAGTTTTGCCATGGTTTCATATAAATCAGGATAGAATTTTATTTACCTTTTTTTTCTTCTGTTTTGATCTTTGTTCAGATGGATGGTGAAGATGACAGTTTGTGGAATCCGGACGTTCGAGAGCCCGAAGAGGAAGTTGCTGCACGGATGGTCCTGTTTATGAAATGGTAATTAACTCACAATTTTCTTGAGAACAATCAGAACCAAAAGCTTGATTCAATAACTCTAATTCAACTTTGCTTCAATTTATCCCATATTATTCCAGGCTGTGGACAAGGCCAGAGCAGGAGATTGTTATTGTTAGCCATGGCATAATCCTGCAACATATTCTGAATGTACTTGGAAATGACTGTCATCCAGCAGTTAGATCAGCTTTATGCAAACGGTGAGCCTTAATTCTCCATTTTCTTCCTCTCCTTTTAGACAAAACCATTGATTCTTAACTTTCAACTTTTCCGAGTTTTCTGAACTCTGGCGAATGAGTGATTGTCTGATCTGTGTTTTCAGCTTTGACAACTGTGAGCTTCGTTCGGTAGTCATTGTGGATAAAAGGTAAGCACGTTTGTTTCCAAATTTAGAGAGTTCAGACAACCTTGTACCCATAACTTCAAATGCTCACTTACTGTTTTGCACAAATTGCAGCCTGATGGGAGCAGATTCAACACTTTGATCACCAAGGGATGCCGTTGCAAAAGAGAATGTGCTGAGAAAGGAAGTTTCCAACTAGTTGGACTCAGTGACCCCTCAAACAATAAATGGACTCACTGTTCAACTTTCGAGGATTCTTTAATCAAATTTGTGTTATTTTCTTTTTTCATTTCATAGGTAATATGACCCATAGAAGTCTGGTTTCTATAGTAAAATAATTGACTGATAACATGTTTTCTTTATTCTTTATACAAATAACTATGTACTTGTCAAATTTAATGTACACTTATGTCCTGTTTGGGCAAAATTTGTAATTGGATTGGAATAATTTTGGAATAATTTCGTTGACAACTTTGTAATTGGATTGGAATAATTTCATTGACAATCAACATTTCTTTTTCAATTTTTTTTTCAACATGTATCAAATCCTTAAAACCAACCACTTTGAACTTAATGTAAATGGCTTTAACAGGTATCAGTCAACTTCAGAGTAACACCATTTTTTATTAGGACAAAGAAGGAAAAATCAATGGACATCTTCTCATCCCCAAACTACTGCCATTTTTTCAAACAAGTTCACAGGCACAGAAATGAGTTGTGAGAACAAATTTTTCCTTCTTTTTTCTTTTTTATTTTTTATAATTCGAAGCAATCAAACTTGATAAAAAAAAGCTACTTGAAATGTGATTGATTTCTCAGAATACTCCATTTAAGTACTGAATGTTTATTCAGTGTAAGTAACCAACAACAACAGAGAGGAGGAGCAAAAAAACAGCACCTATGAAGTTGATAGTGGGTGACTTGATAGTTTTCTGGCTATTTTCTGTGCTAGTAATTTCTCTACTCTTTTCTTGGGAAGAGCTAGGTGCTGAAGAGTAGGGGAGGACTACATCCCAAAAAGACCTAGCGATAACTCCAAGGGCTTTTTCTTCAGTTTCCGAAGCTTCCATGGACATCACTCAACACAATGATCTTTTAGAACCTATCAGAGCATGAAAGCACTAAATCAGAAGGATCTCTAAAGAAATAACAATTTTGCTTATTGGACAAAAAGACAGGGTGGATACTTCATTTCTCAAAGATCATACACAGAAATATGTTATAACCATAATTCAACTCAATCTCCCAGAGCATGGAGAGAGAGAGAGAGAGAGTACTTGGGGCAAAAAATAGGCAAGTGAATAGGGGGTCAAGAACTCAGCTCTTACGATTTTATAGGGAGAGAATGGAAAATCAAGTCTTTTGCCCATCAACTGTCTCGAGTTATTATTACAAAAATAAATTCTGAAGAAATAATAATAATAATACAAACCTCAAGTGTCTTGGATGAGTGTAGCTAGTCATAGATAAATATACCCGGCAACCAAGGAACAAAGACCCTTCGAGGTAATGAAAGATTGCAAATTTTCCTGTTTCGAATTGTTTACCATGCAGCAGATATCATCAATATTGCAAAAAATAAGGGGAATATATCAACTTTCATTCCTTCAACTTGTTAATCATTAAACAAAGACTGAATTAAAAGGTCATATATGAGGTGCAAGCTTGAAATGGAGGAAGAAACATGTATCTTTAGTATAGAGAGCATACAAGCTTGAATACATAAAAGCATATGCTATTTTGGGAAGGTGCTTCTGTTCAATGTGGTAAAGACCTTACATTTCTGCTTATGTAATCAATAATGCAGCCACAACATAGTCGAAAATCTCAAATTTAATAGCATGAAGCCATGATAACTAACAATGAACAGTATTTCAGTTGAAGAAAGCCTATAGCAGGGATCTGAACAACAGAAGCATCACTCCTCAAATGGATTGATAGAGAAAAGAGAAAATTAGCAATTGATTGACTGAGACAGCAAATAAGCATTCTAATCACAGTTAGGTCCATTTTAATAAAATAAAGACTTATTACAACACAGCTAATGCACCTCAAGGATCACAAAACAAGTTGGGAAACTGGCTTTTCAGATAATCAGTCATTGCTTGCTTCTTAATTCCCTCATCAGTTGGCCCTAGATCTTCATCTTCTTTATCACAAATGATATCCAGCCTGCTTTGCAAACTTCTGATGATATCACGTAGAGATGCAACATCTAATCCCATTTATTTCTCACAAGGGACATTTCGAACACTTAAAAGTTGAAATATCAAAACAAGACCATGTTATCATCTAAATCAAGAAATAAAGTCTAAATTAGAAGTAAATAAGGTAACTTTATATCAGCAACAGCCTGTGAAATTGGTTCCTAAGAATTCAAGAATGAAAGGGAACAAACAGAGCTGGTAAAACTGACAACACCTATAACATCTTTCTGGCTGCATGCTTCACAGAATATAAACAAATTACTAAATGTTAGAAATACTAATTAAACAATGGTGAAAACATAATCAAGTTCAAATTTGAAAAGGCCAGCACCTTCTCAAGCCATATAGTAGAGCTTTGCCATGGTAAAGAACCTTGATTAAGATAAAGGAGTGGAATAGACAATACAAGTTACCCGAGATTGAAGTTGTACAAGCACTTAAAAGTTTAAAGAGAAGCTAAGACCCTTCCCATTTTGAAGTCACAAGGCCGCAAGCTGCTTGATGTGATATTTGAAGACAGCTTAAAATTTCGACATGTCCATCCAAAAAAAGTGTAAATTTCGGGTCAAAATATGAATGAACTTAAAACTGAGGAACACATAACATCTATAACTAAAACTTATTATGGATCTAAAAACTTACAAAATACCTCCTTGGACTATAACATATGTGAATAAGCAATCTTTCATCCAGAGCATCCTCCAAAAAGGATGCTGCTCCAGCACCTCCTTTTCACAGTCTGCAAAAACCCATTCCATTTGTTTAAGATCATTAATTGGTAAAAAAAAACTTTAATAAAATTTTCAAAAACGAAAACAGGCCAAACTTTTAACGAAAATGAAGCAAAGATAAAATAAAATACCTGGCAAAGCACCACGGTAAATTTCTTGAATACGGCCTCACTAGCCCACACGTATATACCCACTACTTTCATTCCACCAACCATCATTCTTGGCACCTTGATTCGACAACTTTTACATAATTTAAGTGAGAAAAAAGAATTACATTCAAATTCAATAATTCAAAGTATTAAAAGAAAGTACCTGGCGAGCATGTTCAGCGATCCAATCCCTGTCAATGACCAAAGAAGAGGAAGAATCAGATGTATGCGACTTGGATTTCGATTCCTTTTTCTTGTCGTCTTCAGCTGGCTCCAAAATCGAACAAGCTGGTTGTCCGGCATCGTATTGAGGAGTAGGTACTAAATCGAACACGAAGGCTCGGTCCATAGTGGAACTAAGCTTCCCTATCACCATACCTACCTACGCTTATACCCAGAAAAAGAAATAACTATTGAATTCAGAATTATTGTATGAACATAACTCTGTAATTTTATTTCAATTTTTCATACGAACAGAAAGTTTCAAAATGGATTGGACCTGGGCGGAAACTGAAGATTGAGAGAGACGATCCTCGGCTAGATGGAGCTGGGTTTCTTCTCCAACCACAGCTTTCACCATGTTTTTGACGTCACAAACAACAACAGATCGAACCACGTCGGATAGTTCGGATTTCAGTGCTGCTCCAGGGAGACTTACAAGACGAAGAAATCATGAGAAAAAAAACGGCGCCGTGCCAACTTTAACAGACAATCGGGAACGGTGGGATGGAGGACAATGGCCTTCGCGCTCTTTATGCAGTTGCAGATTGGGGTCTGCCTCTCTCTTGGTTTGTGGAATTGGGGATGGTTCTCTCCTTTGGGCTTTGGATCTGGATGTCTAACACTATCGCTGTAAAACCTTCTCAAAATAAATACGGATATTCTTTTCGTTTTTTGTTTTTCATTTTTCAGAAGCCATTCTTTATTTGTCACTCTAAAACATTAAATATACATCAAATTTTAAATTTATCTTTTTTTTTTTAATTTATCCTGGATTAACATCATTACACAAAATCAAACTAAACAATAATAAAAATCATAAAATAAGTAAAACAGTAACTAAGTTTTAGAAAATGAAACAAAAACAAACATTTGGAGGGACATGGCATCTGAAAATTTGAAAGAAAGCGAAATTTGTGTCCGAAGCAATTGGCATCAAATGCCAAATGGTTTATAGTGTTGAAAACAAATGAAACGGTTAAAAATGAATTTAACATTTTAAATTTTAAATGAAAAAAACAATAATGTATAAATTTTTTAAATTTGAATAAATATTGTGGAGGACAAACATTAAGAGATGAAAGAGGAGTAGTTTACCAACAAATGATTAATTCAATTGGTTAAATTTTTTTTTTTATAAAGAAATTTTGAATTTAAATTTTGTCGATGGTAATTTATTTGAATCAATTCGAATATACAATTTGTAATTATATATATTAATTTATCAGATATAATATTTTTATTTTAATTTAAAAGATTAAACAATTTATCTACCTTTTAAAAAATAAAAAAGAGTAATTCATATATATATATATATAAATATTTGATAATTCAAAGATTCTTAACATTATACTTTATTAAAGTAGATTTTATTTTTTTATTAAAAATATTACAATTTAAAAAATAAAAAATTATAAACATTAATATTTAAAATTATTAAATTAAATAAATAATTACATAAATCAATTTACTAAATTATTTAAATTTTATTTAAATTTTATTTTTGAAAATTAGATATCGGTTCGGGCTGCCATGCCAATGTCTCCTGATAAGTTAAATCAAGGCAAAACTGTTGACTTCTTCAACTAGTTTGTGTTCAGTCTCTCTTTTGAACAGTTTAGAAGAGAGATGATCCCACATTTAATAAAGGTATATTTGGTGGAGCCATTACCGCCGCGAATATGGTAAAGCCCCAACTGTCCTTAGTTGGACTCGCCATTAATACGATGATGACGATGATATGATGTAATTTTAATTATTTTAATAACAACGGCAACCCGCCTAAGGCAAACATGACTTCTCCATTATAAAATTATAATTTTCGTATTTGTTTATTTTTTTTGTGTTTTGTTTTCGGCATTACGTAAAAGGAACCAAATCAACCAAGTTACCAAGTTACTAAAACACAAAACAAAGACTACAGAAATCAACTGTTTGACTCTCTTTCTTTACGTTCTAAAAGAGAGTCTCCGTTAGGTAAAGTAAAAAAATTCGTACCCGATGGGTTTTGGTTCGACCTGATTTTTTAAGATCGATTTTTTATTTTGAAAATCAGGGGTCGGGGTCGGATCGAGTAGCACAAAGACAAAGTCGGGTCGGGTCGGGTCGTGTTTTAGACAAATCCGACCTCACCCGACCTGAAATATATATAAATAATTTTTTAAATTAATTTTTTAATTATATATATTTATATAATGATATTTTTAAATATTTATATTTAAAAAATAATATTTTATTAATTTCAAGTCGAATCAGGTCGGATACAATTTATATAGTGTCGGATCAGAGTCGGATTCGGGACAAGCAAAACCCGCCCCAAACCCGACCCGATGCCATCCCTAGTCTCCACCTCTTCGACAGAAGGAATTCTACAAAAGGAGATTAAATTAAATCAGATTTATCATCTAATCAAAGATATTGTTTTCCTCTAAAAAAGCCAAATTTCAATTTGATAAACGCCAAAGGAGCCTCTTCAGTATGGGTCCGCCGAAGAATTGGTTTCGGGGTTTTTTTTTTTTAAATTATGTATTTTTTGTTAACCGGATATAATTTAATAATTTTAAAAATTAATCAATCAAATTAAATTCAATTAATTTGATTAATTTTTTATTAATTAAATAATAAATATTTTTAAAATTTAAAATTTTTATATTTAAAATAAATTAAATAAAATTATCTAACAAAATATTTAATTACCAATGTATTAATTTAAAGACTATAATAATTTTTTGAATAAAATAATTTATTTTATGTATATTTAGTTTTATATTTAAGTTTTATTATATTTTTATTAAAATTTTAATTAATTTAATTTTTGAATCGAATTAATTAAAATTTAAAACTTTTTTAAAATTATTTTTAATAATTAATTAATTAATCGAATTAAACTAGTTTAATTGATTAGTTGGATTAAAATTAAATTTTGATCACCACTATTTATAATATGTGGCTTTCTTATCTTAATTTTTTTTTTCTAATGGGTGGATTTTGAAATTAATTTTAAAATTGAGTCTAGATTGAAATAAAAAGAAAATCAAAATTTTTAAGTGATTACTTCTTGATTTGAAATGTTTTGCTTTCTTCATATAACAAATGAAGTAACAACAGGTACCAAAATACTCCAAATGATTTTTTTGGTTTGCATAGAGGTCAGAGGATATTCCTAGTATTTTAGTTTTTATAATCCAAAAAGATATAAATTATGTTCATTATCATAAAAAAAAAAAAAAGCTTTGCATTTTGCACTGTTTCCACAGTTGATTTCATCCGCCCACGTATTTGGTTCTGTCTCTACTTTCCAAACATAAATCACACTGTAAACAGTTACACAATTAACTTTACCAAATTTAATATTCCAAGGTCAGGTCTTCGATAAAAATAATAATAATCCAAGGTAAGCTTAAAAGACAGAAACAAACATTGTGCTTTGTGCACTACCTTTTTTCGCTAAGTTACCAATGACACCCGTCTCAATCAATCCGCCACCTCCCTCGGCTAGCGCCCACGTCGCTCTTTAAGTGATAACCAAACCTCAGTTCTCCGCCGTTTTTTATTTTTCCAATGGAACCCTAAAGGCTAACCCCTCGAAGAAGAAAAAAAAAAAAGCCCCAAAATCCTCTGATGGAAAACTTCTCCCACTCTTCTTATCCGGATTCTGGCGATTCTTCGCCTCGTTCTCGAGAAATTGACTGCGAAAACCAGTCATGGGACGAGCCGCCATCAACTAATATTACTAATACTAATAAAAATGCTAATTATAAGGTTAAATTTATGTGCAGTTATGGGGGCAAAATCCAGCCGCGTTCGCACGATAACCAGCTCGCTTATGTCGGTGGAGATACGAAGATCCTGGCCGTTGATCGTAACATCAAGTTCTCTGCTATAATGGCTAAGTTATCTTCGCTGTACGGTGGAGATTCTGAGGTTTGTGTCAAGTACCAACTCCCCGGTGAAGATCTCGACGCTTTGATTTCAGTTACGAATGATGAAGATCTCGAGCACATGATGTTAGAATACGATAGGTTGCATCGAACCTCCGCGAAACCTGCCAGGTTGAGGCTATTTTTGTTCCCGTTGAATCCACCGTTGATGGCTTTGGGATTTGGAGAGAGTGAACCTAAGTCGGACCGGCAATGGTTCGTTGACGCGTTGAATTCGAAGCAGATTCAAAATCTGAATGGTTCTTCGCCTCCAGCTGCGGCGGTGCCAGCGTCAAATCCCGATCTCCTATTGGGTTTAGATAAGGTGAAGTTGCAGGATTCGGTCCCTGCCCCGGTGGCGGCGGTTGTTCATGAGGTGGTTGCCAAGGATGTGACTGCGGGATCGGACAGCGGATCGGAGGACCGGCACGTAAATGCAGATCCGATGGTGTCTCCGGCGCAGATCCATAGGCAAATCCAGGAATTACAGAGGATGCATATTGCCACTACTCAAGAACAAGGCATTTTACAAAGAAAAATTGATGAATGCAATCCTAGAGCTTACAACACTCAAGATTATTATAAAACGTCCACGTCACCAGCTCCAGTATCAGTTCCGTTGCAAATGCCGATCCCAACAGCATATTTCCCGGATCGGCATTTAACTACCGCTGCTTATCCAGTACCCACAGCCACAGCAGCAGCCCCGGGAACTAACCAACCCGTTTACCTGATTCCAGCTCCCGTAGCTGGAGTTTATCAACAGCCTCCTACATTGCAACAGCTGACTGGACCAGCTTCTCAACCTTACTACGGGGTGCAGCCGGTTTACAATCCGGTGCCCACCACAAAAGTTGGGGCATACCCTGAGGGAATCTCAGTTATGCAACCAAAGGGTGGAGTTCCTGAGCCAGGGTATGTACAGGTGGCTTATGATGCAGCAGGAAGGCAGGTGTATTACACGGCGGCGCCATATCAGGCGATGGCACCAATGGCGGCAGCTGCGGGTGGTGTTGCGGCGTTAAATCAGGAAGGTAACGCTACCGTGAATGCTAAGGCTCCTTAACAATTTGATAGTATTGTTTTGTTTATTAAGTTATAATTATAATATATAGTACTTTGAATAAGAACGAAGGTTTTTCATAGGTTTTGGTGAAATTTTTGAAGTCTTATCGAACCTTTTTAAATTCATTTCTTTATTTATTTTGGATAGTGCTGTTACCTTTGACATGTTTAATGTGAGTATGATGTGGATTTTGGCAATGGCTGTCAGTAGTTGATTTGCCGATTAATTTATTGCAATGGTGAACTATAGATAAGATCTAGTAGATCATTGTTTTGCTTTACAATCTTTTATATCTAGGTCCTTACAACTAAAGATCTGTTATTCAGGAAAAGTTTAGGGCCCTAGAATGGTCAATCTAAAAGAAAGTTCGGAGTTCGGTTACGTATAGCACCTCAACGCCATCAAAGAATGGTAAGCTTAATTTGTGTTATCCAATAATTTTACCACGTAATTATTATTGAAACTTTTCTCAATTGACTCTAATACTTTTAGCAGAAATTGAGAAATTCCCCATCACCTCAAAGAAGTTATCAAAAAAACTACTGTTTCACTTACAGAGGCTCCGTCGTCGGATTTTTAGAGAAAAAACAAATCAAAATAAGATAAAAAGAAGGGGAAAGTTAATTGGATTTTTTAGGGAAATTGATACTTTCAACTTTTCCCCAAAAATATTTTTTGGAAATTTCGATTTTCAAGGAAAATTGATACTTTCAACTTTTCCTCAAAAACCCCTTTTTTGAAAATTTATTTCTAAGGAAAATTGATACTTTCAACTTTTCCCCAAAAATACTTTTTTTTTGGAAATTTATTTTTCTTTTAAGGAAAATTGATACTTTCAACTTTTCCCTAAAAATATTTTTTTGGAAATTTATTTTTCTTTTAAGGAAAATTGATACTTTCAACTTTTCCCTAAAAATATTTTTTTTTGAAATTTTTTTCTGAGGAAAATTGATACTTTCAACTTTTCCCCAAAAATACTTTTTTGGAAATTTATTTCTAAGGAAAATTGATACTTTCAACTTTTCCCTAAAAATATTTTTTTAGAATTTTTTTATTTTTATTTAAAGAAAATAAAATAATAAAAAATAAATAAAAAGAATATTACATAAACCTAATCTAATAAATAAAAAATAAACAAATAAAATAAACAAATAAACAAAGAAATAAAAAAAAATTCAAAAAAAAATTCAAAAAAAATTCAAAAAAAACCTGGAGCGGCTCGGATCGCGGCTCGGCTCGGCTCAAGGAAGAGAAAACGGCTCGGGGGAGCGGCTCGGCGGCTTGGCTCGGCTCGGCTCGGCTCGGAGTGGGCTGGCACGCGCGGGTCAGAAAGCGGGTCGACGCCCGGGTCGGGTCGGGTTACGACAAAACGCGCGGATCCTCTGATTAACTTAAAGCCAAAACGACGTCGTTTTGGGAGGGTATAAAAGGCAATCCCCTTCGTTTTTTCGGCAGAACGCTTCTCCCTCTCTCTCTCTTCTTCTCTTTTTTCTCTCCCTTCTCTCTAGAAAATGAAGAACACCGGTGCCGGATTCTGGGAAAGTCGCAGGAATCTGGAAATTTAGCCGGAATTTGGCCGGAAGTCGGCCGGTTTCTGGGAATATTCGCCGGTTTCTGGGATTCCTCGCCGGAAACTGGGCAGGTCGCCGGAAACTTCAAATTTGGCCGGAATTGTCGCCGAAAAATTCAAGTTTCGCCGGAAAATTCAACCGGAATCTGGAATTTCCAGAAATTCCCAGAAAAAAAAAATCGAAAAATCTTCAAAAAATTTCTTTTAGCTCCCAGAACACTCCTAAACCCTTTTTAGCCTCCTATACGCCTCCTTTACTCTCAAATCAGTAGCTTTGCTCACTGTTTTCTGTGTTTTTTCTCTGTTCCAGGGGGATCCCTTTTATAGGGGTTGATCAGGAGTTTCTGATCAATCCCAATTCCTCCTTGGACGGGAATTCAGTCTTTGAATCCAACTGGACTCTTCTGATTGAATTCCCCTCCAGAGTGGGATTCTTCAACTTTGAATCTTAGCCATCCAGAATTAAAATCAAAATAAATAAATAAAATACTAGATAATCAAAAGATATGATAGTATAAAAATAAAAAAATAATATCAGATAATTCGGAAAAAAAAATCAGATAAAATTAACAGATAATATAAAAAAAAATAACATAAGATAAACCCAAAAATATATTACAAAAAAAAGATAATAATAATAATAAATATATAACTATATACATACAATACATATAAATCTAATCTAAATAAAAATAAATAAATAAATAAAGATATACATAATAATAATAATAATAATAATAGAATACATAAAATACAAAAAAAAAAAAAATATACAGGATTGAAATAGGCCTTACCCATTTGAGTCAGGCCCAATTGATCTGGGCCCGGATCCAATTGGGTGTCTACAAACTGGGCAAAGCTTTTCTCGGTTTACAGGATCCTTAAATCCTGCTGAAAGTAGTAAAATGAATATATTTTACTGTTTCTTAGAAATTTATTTCTCCAATGTTGTCTTTTGGGGAGAATTGCTTGCTGCTTATGCTGGGTATGTCTGATCTTGGGGTTACCGTTGTCCAATGGTATTACTTAATGAAGTTTTTTAGTTGAAATTTATGAATTTAAAAAAAAATTGATAAAAATTTCACATTAATATATTAATAGCATTGATTGTACAGACTAATAATATATAAAATAATTATAAAAATAATATTTATAATTTAAGTTTGATTAGTATATATTTAGTAGTAAAAATTTCGTAAAAAAAATTTATTAAAAAAATTTATTTTAAAATATATATATATTTTAAAATTTTACATAATCAATGTAACAAAATTTTACAATTTTACAATTTTTAATTTAATTATTTTTAGAATTAAATTTTACAAACTTAAAAAATTTTATTTAACTTTTTTCCATGTTACTCTGAGATCTTCAGAATTTTCTGAAAATGAATATTTTGGACCTGGCTTCTATGGTTATATACCTGGATTTGGTGTATTTGAGTGCCACATATTTGTAACTCTAGTCCATTGCTTTGAACGTTCTAGTCAAGTTTCCAGGATTATCCAAACTGTTTTTTGCTTTTTCTTCACTATAATATCTTACAGCTATTCTTGCAATTTTCACACTTTTTCCCCTTCTAGAATGAAATGATGACAGGGGTCCATATGAGCATTTAAGTTCTAGTTGGTAGTTGATGTAACTCAGCAGAAACGACTGAGTTGCATTTATTTCAAGGAAATGAGCTGAAAAACAGCGCAGAAGTTATTTTGAATACAAATGTAAAATGAAAAAACCAGAATTTATAGATAAAATTTGGGCTTTTGAAGATGAAGAAACTTATCGATGCATGCTTACCTTGGATTTAATAATTCTTGCATAAAGCCTTGGATGTTTGCAAAGCCATTGCCCTTGGATTTAATAATCATTGACAGTGCTTCTTGCAAGTCCAGAGACCTGACTGGTTCTGACTTTCCATCTGATTGGGAGAATGTATGAATGAGTTCTTGGATCAGATATGCTTGGACTCTGAGAATCAGTATGTCCAGCTTGGCATCAATAAATAGAAAAGAACACAACGCAATTCTTGTTAAATTATGCTGAAAATGAAAAAAAAAATGCAAATAAAAAGCCAACAATTCTTCATTGCCAAAGAACTTGAGTTGTTTTCCTCAATGCAAAAATTGAATTAGTTGCAAGTAAAAAAGAAATCCCATGTACAAAATCAGTAATATTCTACTATCAGTAGCTAAGAAAGACACGGAATAGGTTAATTCAGTTGATTTTTACCGCATAGAGCAAAAGAAGAGTTAAGGAAAGATATTGAAGAATATATTACATGTAGAAAGAGAAGTGGTGGAGTGCTTTCTGGAGTATGATTCGAGTTTTTGAGAGTGCCAGTGCCAGCAAATGAAGGCAAAGAAGCCATTGGAGAAAGGTGGAAGGATAATAGATGTGTTTCGATTGAAGCATTTTTGTTGTAAAATTATGGTACATCAACTGTTATGTTTTCCTAATTACTGCCTACATGTTGTCTGAGAAAAGAGTAATGATAGACAAATAGTGGCGTGGTGAACTGTGGACTTAAATAGTCTTTTTCCATACAATAAAATAAAAAATAACGCGTGTCAATTTGGTCAACCCCAAGATTAAAAGGAAAATAAAGGGCTTAAATATAATAAACTCCCGAAATAAAATTAAATAATAATTCAAGTTTTTAATTAATAATTTAATTTTAATTCAAAATTTATTTTATATTTCTGCAAAAAAACCGCATTTCCTAGCATCGAATCTTCAACCTATCTTTCCTTCTTTCTTTGGTTTTTTGCCCAATTAAGAAAAAAAAAAAGGCTATATATTCTTCTAAAAACTAAGTGCAATTTTGTTTCTACGTAACCCTGGCCCTTGTAGCTTTTTATTTATAATAATGATGGGATTACTAAATTGCCTATGGTTGACATAAAAATTCAACACATGACAATGTTTATAATCTCAAATTACTTAATATTTTACTCTGTTGAATTTCGCAGATCATTTAAAATTTTATTGGATGTTACCAACAGGACAATGTCAAGCGATTTTGATGCTAATACGAGGACGAAGCACTTAAAACCGAGTATACATTTACAATTTCAAAATGAATTTCATCTCAATCTCATATATGAAACAACAATATGCTCCTTCAATTGTCGGTACGAAGCCAATCCCTTTATTTCTAATTCATCCTCTTCAGTTGACAACAAGAATTTAAGGCGGGCTTCAGGGGGTTTTGAACAAATGCATCTGCAATACCGGTAAGGGTCGATAAAAGTACTGAAGAAAAGCAAACAGAAGCTTTAACTTTTATGGAGTGTCCACAATTATAGCAGCATGCTTACTCAGGTGTTCGACAATATCCGATTAATGGCATAAACATATTTTGAATTTTAACACAGAAGTAGACATCAGATTTCTCGACATTTCGACAGAAATCAATCGGAACAGCATATTTTGGCATTTCAATAAATTCTCAGAGCCATAAAATAAGATAGTTTTCGGCTAAAAAGATTACATGCCATAAATAGGAACAGCATCTGGTTTAGGCAGTTCTATAGAGCTGACAAACCTTGCATCTAAAGATATCCTCTTCAGTCCTTGTATTTCATCGTTTCTTTCTCAAAACCAATAGTTGGAAATTGTTTGGCATACTCCTCAACTTCTTGCCGGAGCTTTGCAATTTCAGAT